GGAGGCGCTGTCAAGCATCTCAAAAGATGAATTTAGACAATGTTTTGAAAAATGGAATAAAAGACTAGACAAGTGTATTAGTGTAAGTGGAGAGTACTTTGAAGGGGATTGAAGGTTTGTGCTTAAAATTTGAATAAATAAGTTTAAAAAAATATAAGTTCGGTTTCTTTTGGGTACCCCCTCGTATATTGGTAAATGTAACTAAAATCTAATGGTTACTGCTTTGGATAGTTACTTGTTGATGTTGACAGTCTGTAAACGACATGTTTCAAGGTACACGGTTACCTGATGTGTTATTTACCAGGGAAGTGCAAAGTCAAGTTCTGCTGTTATGCATTTTTCTTCACTTTCAGCTGTCAAGGTGATATTTTTTATGAAAGTTAAAGTAAAAAAAACTCTTCCCATATTCAATTAAATATTGCGGAAATCATGCAGCTTCCTAAATCAATGAAATTTCACTCTCGTTGCTTTTAGTAGTGCAGAACTTATCAGTTGATGAGCTCTACATTATGTTATAATATAAAATTCAGTGCTGAATATTATTTATAGGCAAAGCAAGACGAGGCTGACAAAGTGGATGGTGCTGTTCTCATTCCTGAGGACAATGAAGATAACACAATGGAAGCTGTGGCAAAGAATGTACTGTGGCAGATGGACTTGGACAGGAAGACAAAGGCTTTGAAGCAGCTTCAGGGTCATATCATGCGTGAGGGTTACAAGAATGGAAACTTGAAAGGACAGTGAGTATTGTATTATATTTTAGTTTTTGCACTAAAGACCTCCAAAGCCTTGCATGTGTGCATCCAAAGCTGTTTTGCAGATTTTTGAAATTATATTCAGCAGATTCAAATACGGATAAACTGTATTTAGGTAGTAAGTACTTAATAAAATAAAACATAATGTCATGTGTTGGTGATGAGACATGGGGTTTGGTTTGACAATTTTATTCATTGAACGCTCATGACTTGTAATGACAAATAATTATGACAGTCTCACTGGTTTGCACACTTCAAAGATCACTGTAACTACAGCACACAAAGTCTTCTGTATCTTTACTAGTTTTTGCTAGGCAGCAGTTCTCAACAGTCAATATTCTTCTGCTTCCATGCTCACATCTTCTCAGCTGGTTCTCATTATATACCCTCTGCACAAACTACATAGAAAACACCACTTCCAACCATTCTTTTGTTGTTGTGTGCATATCTGTTGTTTCAGACATGTGTTTAGCATGCCTTTGCATAGCAGTGACTACATCCACACATTCTGCTATTCCTGTTTTACAGCCATGATGTTACAGCAGCAGCAGTAGTAGTAGTAGTAGTAGATCTGTAGGGTGAGAAATCTGTGCAGAAGGAAAGTAAACTTTATTTGTTCTGCTAGGAACTTTTCTTTAACCTGTGATTGTATATACCAAAATTGTAATGTAACTATTTACCTTGCTTGGGTTCTTGTTCGGACCAATTATATTGCTAGTAAGTTAGAATCTAGCGGCCTCCATAGTCTAGAGGTAACGTTCCCACCTCATGACTCGTGGTACGTGGGTTCAAATACCCGGCGGAGGTCGTCAAATTTTTAAGGGCGGAAAAATTCGGGAACAAGTCCTCCAGGAGGGACTTTAAGCTGTGTGTCCCGTGTTGTAACTTTACGGCACGTAAAAGAACCTCATATCCCCAAAGGGGATCACTGAGCCAAGTTCCAGGACGTTTCCCGCCCAACAGTAGCCTCTAAGGCCTCTGATAGATGGGGGAAACATTATAGACACCGCTAAGCAAGTGGCCGAACTCACTTGCTCGGCGGGACTGATGGTACGCGTCATTTATCGGTAGGGTAAAGAGACTGGTAGAGTATCATACAGGGAAGCACAATAGAGCAAACTGGTCGTGGTGCATGGGGAAACCCACCCTCTCTAAATAACTAAGTTAGAATCTGACATTTAGTGATTCTCAGTTGGCTGTATGTCGATTGTTATGAGTTATTAGTGTATTGGAATGTAAAATGTCATTGTCAGCAGTGCGCACAAGTTACTTTCTCGAGCTTGCGTTGGATGGCAGAGAAGAGGAAGGGTCCAGAATTTGTTTTCATAATAGTACTGAAGATTGTTTTTAGCCTGTTCTCAGTAAATAGCCCTTCTAGTTCTAGTCTCCAGAAATACAATAGATGCAAAAAATCCCCAGGACTCCCCCCTCTCCCACTGCTGCTGGTATGATTTTGCCTTGAGCCACTTAAAGCAACTGCAAAAGATGATGGACGTACTAAAAACACTTAAAATCATCATCTTTATGACTTAAAAGGCAAGGTCAGGTCATGGTGGAAATTTTACAAAACTGAAACAATTATTATTATTATTATTATTTGTAAAGGGGGTGGGTTTCCCCATGCACTGCAACTAATAGTCTATTGTACGTCCCCCTTTGATATTCTACCAGTCGCCATGCCCTGCCAGTACTGGTGCTCGCTATCGGCCCCGTCCTGCCAGCGCGGTCAGCCACCTCTCTGGCAATGGTACCCTATACTTCCCCATCTACCGGAGGAATTGGAATCTACTTGGGCAGGAAACTTTGCCTAATTTTGCTCAGAGGTCTCCTAGAGACATGAGGATCTTTTACGTGCCGTAAATCTACGACACGGGACCCACGGCTTAAAAGTCCCTCCTGGAGGACTTGTTCCCTGAATTTTTCCGCCCTTAAAAATTCCACGACCTCCGCCAGGTTTGAACCCGCATACCTTGAGTTATGAGGTGGGAAAGTTACCCCCAGACTACGGAGGCCACTTAAACTGTAACAGTTAGTTTGTTAAATAATTGCTCCATCTTCATTAACCATTATTGTTCGTGTGTCTCAAAGTCACATTGGCAGGGACTTAGTGTCATGTTGTTTACAGCAGGAGATCGGATCCAGACATGAAAGTTAAACTTTATTAGCATTAAACATACCATGAGTCAGAATTTTACATTTTCTTGTACTGTATAATCTGGATTATCCCGTGATACTGGTTTTGTGTGTATGGTGTAACTTCTATTGCTAATTATTATGTTTTACCACAAATCTCTTGAATGTCTTGAGGTACTAGTTTTATGTATATGGTATAACTGTTGTAGTCATTACATTATTTTTTTCTCCCCCCAAAAATCTAAAGGGTCGTGAGAGTCAGGTTTTATGTGTATGGCATAACTGTTGTTGCAAGCCAGTTGAGATTGTCTGAACTCAGGTTTAATGTTGCAGCTGTTGTGTTTTATTTAAGCGTTACTAAGTATGGCATTTGAATTATTACATGTGACTATGGAATGATTTCACAAGAGTTTAAATTTTCATTTTGTGTCTATAGTGTCTATTCTGATGTTGTGCCTGCTCTCAAGTCATGGGCACATAGTGGGCGACGGATTTATGTCTACTCCTCTGGTAGTGTTGAGGCTCAGAAACTGCTCTTTGGGCACTCAGAAGAAGGCGATCTTCTTGATGTGAGTTTGCTGTTCACCAATTAAATGATGTACATTTTGAGTTTTGGAGAATGAGATGGTAAACTATGCCCCCCCCCTCTCTCTCTCTCTGAGAGAGGGTGGAGAGCTGGGAGGTTAGAATATACACCCCCCTCCCACATAATGTCCACATTTGAAAGTTGTGTAATGAGTGTGTCACTGTTAAGGTTAACAGCTACCTTTTCATGGCAGGTAGAAGCTATTTCTTTTTGTGAAGTGGTGTACAATCCTATATATAGTTTAGGATGAAACAGATTTTACTATATCGTTAGGTTGCTTCTTGAATGCCTTTCTTATGGCCCATGTTTTGTAGAAATACACCTTTACTTTTTGAGATACAAATGTTTTTCTGAAAAACTGATACTGCTACTAAGTGAGGAATGACCCATGTCCCACAAGCTACAGCATTCTGTGTTTGTAAAATGGCTTAAGTAACTGACCACATTGCTTTGTGATTTTCTGTCAGTCATAGCAGCCCATAAGTAGGCCAAGTTTCAGCAGATCTATGGAATAACTGCTAAAAGTGTACACATTGTGATTTAATGCTCTGCCACTGTCTTTGCAGCTTTTTGCAGGACATTTTGATACTGAAGTTGGTCCCAAAGTTGAGCCTGACAGCTACGTGAATATAGTCAAGAAGCTGGATTGTAGGAGTGAGGATATTGTATTTCTAACCGATGTTCCAAGAGGTAAGATCTTGAAATATTCATCATGGCTGTTAGATGGCCCTCCTTCCCATTTCAAACAGTTCAAAACATAATTCATAAAGGGTTTCAGAATGGAAGTCTAGTGAGACAGCCAAAATTGTAAGGCTGACAACCTCACCGCCATCTGTGAGCCGATTGTCTAGAAAATGTGGGAGCCTCAACATCTCACAGTCACATGGGCCTCCACAGCCTGTTACAGGGATAGCTTTATGTATGTTATTTCTGTTAAGTTTGATACAAAGTCAGATCATATATTCTCACATGAATAAATTGCAATGAATTGTGGATGGAACTTGTGAATGCACGGCAATTTGTGATCAGATTGAATGAGCTGTGCATGGGGGGCAGTGGGGGAACCTTGGCTCATTAAGGAGGTTCACTTTCAGCTAGATGGGGTAAACAAAGCATGTGTTGCATGTAAGACGGAATATCAGAGATATTTGTAATTAATAAACAGTGTGGTACAGGATGCTGTGATATAAACTTCATAAAATCTCATCATAGCAAGGCTGCATTGTATCTCTCTGTTATAGTATCAGCGAAACAAAGGTTAAAGCATTTCTTCGAGTTACATACTTCAGTTCTTGCAGCGTATAGTTCATAGATATGGTTTTGACTGTTGCATTGTCACAGTTAATAGCAACTGGCATTATGTAATGTACATAACTCTTATGTCAGGCTGCACAGAGTTACGATCTATATTGAAAATTTGGATGGCACGTGGACCCATAGGATAACCGTTTAGTTCATGCACTCCACTACTTGCACACTGTGTAATTTCATAGGATATTAGACATAAGTCCTGCCTCCCAGTAAATATTACGATGTGTATCTTTCTAAAAGGTGCCTATTTCTGACAGTATCAATGTCCCAGTGTATTGGGATGTCACGGACTTTTCTGTGCCTATGAAAAATGCAGTGTCTGGTCTGATTTCTGAGAAGTTAATAATGTTGCTGCTTTTTTGTCATTAGAGACTGACTGTTGATTGTGTATTCTACCAAAATGATATAACTTTGCTCCAGTTTATATCTGCAGTAAATACATTTATGTATCATTAATTGTGTATATGACTTTGTCTATAAATAAATGTCTTAGATCTCAACAAGTGTGATGTCATCAGCTCCGTGGATGCTCATAGAATTGAGCTCATAGTCTCATGGTTTGAAAAGAAGTTTTATGGTTTTGTAATTCTATCTTGTGATCTGCTGTAATGGTAGCCTACAGTAGGAAAAGGGTATCTGTACTTGTCTGTATGTTCATGTCTGTAAATAGGGAGGGAACTGTAACCTTTCTGTGTCCTGTCACAGCACTTCCATAGCCTGTGTTGACACACAGGCTCCCATAATCATTATTCAAGTTACAAACAATGTTGGAAATATTGAACGTGATTTCCAGTATTCCAGATATAGTAGGGAACAAGACTGCACAATACCAACTTCCATTCTACATTTTAAGATTTAACACTGGAGTATATACTGTAGCTGAAAAGTGATGTTTCCACTTCCCTTGTCTCTCAGTAGTAATGACAGGTATCATCATCATCATATGCATCATGCTTAGATCTTGTTTCCATATTGTTACCATTAGTTGCAATAATCAAAATGCATTATGCAGAAGTGTAAATAAAATTGGTTGTTTCCATCAGTGTCTGGAAATTTTGTGTTATTAATTATGATGAAGGTGGAATGTTTTTTATTGCCTAGGGAAGTATTTAGGTTTGATTGTCTGTGAATTTTGTGTTAATAATTAAGAGACTGGGGCTGTTTTAATTGGGGGTATTGTGCTATCTCTGGCTCAGGGTCAACAAGATGGCACATACGATGGGGTACCCAAAAGAAACCGAACTAATTTTTTTGTGGGCAGAGCTTTTGTAGTACCGCGTTTTGCCGCTATGAGCGCATAGAGCTAACATTCCTGAGTCGATAAGCCGACTACCGTTGCTTCAGAAGGTAAGGACTAGTTTCGGCAGAGTTTATAGTGACAACTGTTTTGTGTGATCGTCGTTCTTGCAATGGCTGATTTTCGTCAACAGCGTGCGGCGGTGAAATTCTGCTTTTTGCTCAGGAAAAGTGGAACAGAAACTCTTGAAATGTTAAAAATGGCGTACAAGAACGATGCTATTGAGAAAACTCAAGTGTTTGAGTGGTTTTCCCGTTTCAAAAATGGTGAAATGTCAATTGATGACAAACCTCGTTCTGGTCGTCCTTCCACGGCCCGAACACATGAAAATGTTGAAAAAATTCGTGAAATCATCAAGGAAGATCGACGACGGACCATTGAAGAAATTGTGGAGCTGTCGGGAGTGACTTGGAGCTCAGCGGCCAGATTTGTGGCAGTCGGGTGACTGGTTTTTCCATCATGACAATGCCCCTGCTCACACAGCCCTGTCTGTACGACAATTCTTGACCAAAAATGGTATGACCCCTGTTCCTCACCCTCCATACTCACCCGACCTTGCCCCGTGCGACTTTTTTTTTTTTCCTCGAATGAAAAGAGACATGAAAGGAAAAAACGACGGAGGCGCTGTCAAGCATCTCAAAAGATGAATTTAGACAATGTTTTGAAAAATGGAATAAAAGACTAGACAAGTGTATTAGTGTAAGTGGAGAGTACTTTGAACGGGATTGAAGGTTTGTGCTTAATATTTGAATAAATAAGTTAAAAAAAAATAAGTTCGGTTTCTTTTGGGTACCCTCTCGTACATGGCATGTGTTCCCCATTGAAGGTAAATTTGAATCTAGTGTTAAGACTCCCTTAGAATATGCAGTTAGGAAGGTCCAGGGAAACCAGGTGGGACTGAAATTAAACGGGACATATCAGCTGTTGGTCTACACTGATGATGTGAATCTGCTGGGTGATAATGTAGACACCATAAAGAAAAACACACAAACGTTAATTGACGCAAGTAAAGAGGTTGGTCTAGAAGTAAACACAGAGAAAACTAAGTGTATGTTGCTGTCTCGTCACAAAAATGCAGGGCAAAATTATGACATAAAGATAGGAAACAGATGTTTTGAAAATGTGGCACAGTTCAGATATTTGGGAACAACGATAACAGATCGAAACCTCATTCAGGAGGAAATTAAGAGGCAATTGAACTTGGGTAATGCTTGCTACCATTCAGTCCAGAACCTTTTGTCTTCTTGTCTGCTGTCTAAAAACAGAAAAATTAGAATATACAAAACTATAATTTTGCCTGTGGTTCTGTATGGGTGTGAAACTTGGTCTCGGACATTAAGGGAGGAACATAGAATGAGGGTGTTTGAGAACAGTGTGTTGAGGAGAATATTTGGACCGAAGAGAGATGAAGTGACAGGAAGTTGGAGAAAACTGCATAATGAGGAGCTTCATAACTTGTACTCTTGTCCAAGTATAATTACAATGGTCAAGGAGGATGTGGTGGGCAGGGCATGTAGCACGGATGGGGGAGACAAATGCATATAGGATATTGGTGAGAAAGTCAGAAGGAAAGAGACTTCTGGGAAGACCAAGGTGTAGGTGGGTGGATAATATTAAAATGGATCTTAGAGAGATAGGAGGGGATGGGATGGATTGGATAGATCTGGCTCAGGGTGGGGACCAGTGGAGGGCTCTTGTGAAAATGGTAATGAACCTTCGGGTTCCATAAAATGCTAGGACATTCTTGAGTAGCTGCAGAATTGGTGGCTCCTCCAGAAGGGCTCAGCTCCATGAGTAAGTAAGTTAAGACTCCCACTAAAAAGCATGTTTGCACATAAAATTTAATTTCATGTACTGTTAGCATTCTGCAGTTACTACAACTGAATGCCTGAAAGCTAATAAATGAAAATGTTATACTTGAGTGAATTCTTTGTTTTCCACATATACAGTCTCATCACTTTCTGTGTAACATCTTTTGGTAGGGAACGTTAGAGAGCATGTGGTAGTACCTGGACTTTTTTTTTATGCAAGTAATCTAACGCCATAAAACTGTGTTTCCTACACTAGAATGTGAACATTTTGCCTGATCCGAATATGTCTTGGGTGGACCAGGGTGGAATTTGATAAGGAAGGGTTTATAATACCTTAAGTAATAATTTTTGTTAAAATCGTCTTGTGTATAGTAATGTTTGCGATCATGAGGTGGCAAAACTAGAATGTGACTGCGACTGCCAGAGCAGACTTTGTTATGCCCACCCAGTGCGTGGGGTGCAGTTTTCTGATGTGTCAGCTATGGCGACCAGTTACTAGTCCATTTGGTCATATCTATGTTACTTTTATTCAGATTGATTGTATCTGCATGAAACACATGGCCCAGAAACTTCTTCCCACTCTGGGCACAGCAAACATCAATTTTTACATCATGGAGTGGAACCTAACATAAAAGATGGTTTTCTCTGTAACAGTATCTGTTATTTTGTGTTCTTATGTCTCCATTCAGATAAAACCTAAAAGGGCGATGTCCGCTTGCGATCAGGCTAACCATTATGAACTGACTGAAGATACCAGTTACAGAAATGACTGTGAAATATGCATAATTATGTTTTTGTACAACTGTACTTTCATTAGATTTTGTCATGTCAGAAGATCCTCTTTTGTTGGACGCAGACAAATTTATACTAGAGCATCTAGTGTTTTACGTGAATAGTGTGCAGACTGTAAGTCTGCTAGGGAGTGTCAGAAGAAAGTTTACAGAGGTTTGAGTTTGAAACAGAATATTATGAGTAAAATAGAATTTTAATAGGAAATTTGAATGTCAGTGTTGTGTGTAATAGCAAAAGTAGTTAGACACTATCAGAGTTTAGATACCTTCAGAGCTTCTTACAAGGAATAGTAATATCAACAGAAACCAAGATTAACACAACAAAATTATTGAAATTGACCTTACATATTGCCAGCTTGTGTACTCTTTTGTGGCCATGTTACATAGTGATATCAACCAAACTATATCTGCAGTTGACTTTCTTTTTAATACAGGGCTTGGTTTTGTTAC